AAAAGAAATAAAACAAAACATATAGAAAAAAAAACAAAAAGAAACTACATAAAAGATATAACGAAATTTTTCGTGAGTGTGCCACAGTTACACAAAATGGTCAATTTCATTATACATGAAACAATAGGTTATTTACATAATTCGTGTAGTAACGTACACATACACAATATGGCGGCCATTTCAAGATGGCGACGGTCATTATAGCTTGTTTATACAGTGCAACTTGTAATGTTTTATTTGGACGAAGTTTCGCAGAAGTATCGCTGTAAACAAATGGTGTTAATCAACTTGTGCCGCCCATTTATAATCATTTGAAACTTCCTCAAGTATTCTCCGGCAGTTTTCTAATTTTCTCGTGAAATTAAACAATGACAGATTCTTGTAAAATCCTGCAGATTATTAACTTTTAAGATAATAACATTCACTCTCGGTACGCAACGCGAGTGATATTATTTGATTTGTTTCGGACTTTAGATGAGTTCTTGTAAATTGAACATTTATATAACGCCAAAGAAACGTATTCAGATGAGATTTTGTATTTTCAAATTTTGTTATTTCAAATTAGACAATAATACTGTACATTTACTAGTCTACATAAAGGTATACTATATCAGCCGTTAACTGTCCAACGTTGTTCATATGCCTCCCCCTATTGGGGGGGTTTTGCCATTGTTATTTATTATTATTATAATTGTCTGTTTTGGAATCCTGCAATGAGGAGGAGGGCGTTGATGTTCGCGACACAGTTTTATACTTCTGCAAATATCATCGTTTTTAATAATACTGTAACCAATGTTTTTGTTCCAAATAAATTATTATTAAATTAATTAAATTAGATACTTGTAAACACTCGAGTACCTCAGTATCCAGTAGTTATTTGAGTCAATACTCGGCTTTGTATTGTCGTATGAATGACATACATAGAAAAGACCATCCCTTTCTTTCCTGTACGTATCGTAAAAGGCGACTATTTCATTTGTTTTAATTCGATTGTTGTATTCAATTGTTGATGAGCAGTAGCATCCCTCTTAAAACACCATCAAAGTCTAACTGCGGTTGCCAATCTACATATGTCAATCCAAAATAATATTTGATAACAATAGCTCTAATAATTTACGTGATAAAATCTACGTAATACTATATTTATTAATTGCTCTTCTGCCATGTGGCTTTTTAAAACATCTCCAAAGGCTAACAACGGTTGCCAATCCGCTTGCCAACCATGAAAACTACTGGAAAAACCTCCCAAGGAGAAGGCTTATCTTTAGCAGTGGACAGTAAAATGCTGATATAATGAAGATTATTTTTTTTTTACGGCAAACGAGCATGCGGCTCACCTGATGGTAAGTGACTACCGCCGCCCATGGTCACCCACAACACTAACGGCATTGCAGGTGTGCTGCCGGCCTTTTAAAAAGGAATTTGCTCTTTTCTTGAAGGTTATGTTGTCGTATCGGTTCGGAAATACTGCTGCTGGAAGTTGATTCCAAAGAGTGGTTGTGCGTGGGAGAAAGTGCTTTAAAAACGCACGGTGGAGGACCGCCACTCGTCCAGATGGTTGGGATGAAATTTGTAATGGTGAAATGGTCTCGATATATCTCATTTTATTGTAAATATGAAACAATATACACAATGATCAACATAGAATAATATCCGTACGCCCGACCACGATGATTTCTAGCCAGTTGTAGCTAACAAATCGCCCACCGCGCCATCCGGCTTCCGGACCCTGCAATACAGGCCGCCAGCCATTCGGAACATTATAATTCCAGCATTACACACTCATTTTATCTTTTTATAAGTATACATACTATCTATCTATCTATCTATTTAAGAGCCGCGCTCTTGTCGGTGGAGCTCTTGCCACTCACTACGATTTTCAGCGAGTCTCTTCACCTCTTGATACGATACGACACCAACTCCTTCCTTGATCTGCCTGATATAACTATGTCTCGGTCTCCCTCTCCCCCTTCTTCCTTCTATCTTACCTTCTATTATAATGTTCATAAGTTCGTCGTGTCGTATTAAGTGTCCCAACATACATACATTAATGTATAATTCATACCGTTTTAAATATGAAATACTAGCATATGTGTAACTACGGCCGATCTCCGAAAATCTTGTATCGATAATGACAATAAATTTTAGCTGAAAAAATTGTATATTTATATATACGTACATATATCGTCGTGTAGTCCCACATATTACATACATACAACTATTATGATATATATTCTATCTAACGTTAAATTTACATCGAATCAGTTACAAATGCACCAAAGACTGCAATTCGTTTATATTTAGAATAAGTACTTTAATACGTTGACTTAAAATCAATTTTTAAATATGCCAGTTTAGCGAGTCAGTACTGCCTATGTCAATTTGATACAAAAACTAAACCAAATGTAAACCTACACTAGTTTATTTCTTTTTATTTTTGGAAAGGATAAAATAAATGTACATTTTATCACATTATATTTAGATTGACTAAACGAATAATTAACTTATTTGTTTTGAACAAACTGATTGCAAATTATCTAGCTATACGTGAACAAAACCACATACACACAATAGTGGATCAATAAATCAAGAATGTCAAAACAAAATCCAATCAGCGCGGAATTCCGCGCAATAAACAAAGCGCAAAGGCTGCGATGTATGGCGCTCGTTTATCACAGATCATACCGGCCCTGATATTAACCGACCTCTATGTGTATATGACATAATATGTGACAATTACTAGCACCCTGGTAGGTATTTTAGGGCTTTTAATTCTTATTTATTTATTTATAATTACGCACACCAATAGTATACATATTAAATATATATATATTTACTAGCGACCCGCCCCGGCTTCGCACGGGTACACATTACATCACATCACATTAGAAATCTTTAAAATAATAGTTCTTCTCTACTATATTATGCATGTATTATACATATAAACCTTTCTTATGAATCACTCTATCTATTAAAAAAACCGCATCAAAATCCACTGCGTAGTTTTAAAAATCTAAGCATACATAGGGTCAGACAGATGGGAAGGAACTTTCTTTTATACTATGTATTGATATATATATATATATATATATATATATATATATATATATATATATATATATATATATATATATATATATATATATATATATATATATATATATATATATATATATAAAATAAAATAAATTAAATTTATAATTACATTGTTTTTATTACAAAATTTTAATACAAATATAAAGCAAGACTAGGCAATTAAATCTACATGGTCTTCAGTACCATACCGCGAAACACTGCCAACGAGTCATGGCTTACGTCTACCATATATCCGGATCTAAACCGCATATATGATTATAGTTATTGCATATTCTTGCAAGCGGAGCAGTCAACCTTTTTATTATTCAAATGCATTCAAAATAAATTCATTCTAATTCCTATTTAGAGAAAATTTTGAACAAAAGTCGATTGCTTCTGTACCTCTGTCCCATTCGTGTTTCAACCGTGAAGCAGTTGTGTTTGCATGGCTGTGTTTCGGTTTGAAGGGTGGAATATGGCGTGAATTTACTGGGTACAGAGGAATAACTCTGTTATGTCCATGGTACTGCTTATGTCTATAGACGACGGTTACCACTTTCCATCAAGTGGGCCATCAGCTTGTTTGCCGTTCTAAGTTGTATAAAAAAAAAGTATTAGATACGAGTATTACAATGTTTCTTGATCAATATAAACGGTTTCAATGTAGTAGTAGTTTTATAATAGCCTTTTAAGTCTGTTAGTTAAATACTTTAAACTCATAACGGGGTTATTAAAGTTGTACGGTGTAACTATTCTGAACGTTTACAACTTAGGTATTTCTAAGTTTAAGAGACTACCGACTAAACCGTCTTTCAAAAAAAGCGTTCACGCTCACTTTTTTACTTTATCCGAGCAGTAAATGCTTTATATTATTCTCAATTTCGTGTATAATATAGTATATGTCATATATGTGTAAGTATATTTGTTATCCATATATATTTATTCGTTTATATATGTAATTTTAGTATGTATGTATATCAATAATTACTAGTAACACATTCGAGTATTCTGACACTTCCCTATGGTTGACTGGGAGAGAATGCTTTTAGCATTAAGTCCGTCATGTACACATATTTGTACAAATGAATAAATAAATTAATTAATTAATAACGCAGTCGTGCATAATAACACTCTGTAATCTAAGAAGAAATTATACATAATTCGATTTTTCCATTCATTTCTATTTGTAATTATTTCAGTATTCACTTACTCTCTTTCAAGCCATATTGTCCATAACACAGTCCATCTATTTGTTTTAGATCTTTCCCCACTCTTATAATCGTCCTCATACCTACTTTTTTTATACCACTGAGGTGGCAATCAAGCATACGGCCCACCTGATGGTAAATGGTTATCTTAGTACATGAATGCCTGCAATACCAGAGGTATTACGCGCGTTACCGACTCTAAAGAAACCTCTTTACCCCCTTTTGAAGAACACCATGCTACAGTCTCTTGGAGAAACCTCGGCAGGGAGCTCATTCCATAACTTGAGTGTTCGTGGAAGAAAATTTTTCTGAAACTGCGCTATAAGCGACCATTTAGGCTGTAGGGTATGATAGTAAATGCCCCATCAATGGCAAGCCGTACGATGGTAGAAAGTGGCCGTGGACATCATATTGAACAATCCCTCTGAGCACAATCCGTTGTACAAGCGGTTATATTTTAATATTTTCTTTGAAACATTCTCTTTATCTCTGCGTATCACGTCGCCTTTTTTTTTAACGTCTGGAAAATGCTTTATGCAGATCCATACACCTTGTGGGAGGTGAATGGATACTGTGGGAATCATATCACGTGGCCTGATGGATACATTAAAATATTAAGACTAATTGTTATTACTTTACTGCATATAAGACTACATTCAAAATGCCATTTTGTATTATGATTACGAAAAAAACAAAATTTCAAATTTTAAATTCCAGATACTGCCCCGGAGTTGCATTACACGTTTATCGAGCAGGCGTTACACCCTGGACCGGCCCTGGCACTACACTGCGCCGCGTCAGGCTCACCACCACCGCGGTTCACCTGGCTACTGGATGGACAACCAGTCGAGGAACACAATACGCCACAAAGGTACCGCTTTAGAAGAATAATATTATTAGAAGATATAAATTATACCAATAAGAAAGTCTACTGTACATATTTCCTTCAATGTCTTTTAGCATAGCAAATAAGCTGATGCCTACCAATTTTAAAGTGGTAAAGTGGTAATGGTATATAGATTTTTTTTATACAACATAGAATGGCAAACAAGCTGACGGCCCACCTGATGGAAAGTGGTAACCGTCGCCTATAGACATTAGCAGTACCATGGACATAACAGAGTATACTGTTTCGCCCATGATACCCCCCAAGCGTTGCCATTCCTGAGGATTTAGGTGTTATTCCTCTGTACCCAGTAAATTCACGCCATATCCCACCCATCAAACCGAAACACAGTCGTGCAAACACAACTGCTTCACGGTTGAAACACGAATGTGACACGAGGTACCCAAGCAATCGACTTTTCTACAAAGTCTCCCTCTGGTAGACCATTATATGATATGAATAGTACCATAATATCCACTCAATGAACTTTGACGCCCATGGTACCTTTCATCTATTGCTATTCTTAAGAAGTCAGATCTTATACAACCGTATTCTGTAATTTCACTACATTATCTCGTTCTCCAAACCAAAACATAACTGTGCATGTACAATTACTTGAGAGTAGAAATCAAGAGGGAAGTAGCATTCAGCTATGAACACGAATATATGGGTTTTTGTCTAATCAATTTTCGCTGTTAAAAAGCTTGGATGATAATACAATGTGAAATCCTCGCGTCTTAAGAAAATAGCAAGCAAATGTAATAATAGAATGGGCCACCTATTTTTTTCCTGTGTGTGTCGTATAAGAAGACTAAGAGAACTTTACGGCCGAGGGATGGGCAGCAGCGTCCCTCTTTAGATATTACCAAAGCCTAACTGCGATTGCCAACGCGCTTGTCAAGTATAGTAACTACTGGAAAAATTCCCCTTATGGGGGAAGCCTATGTCTTGCAGTGAACAATAAACGGCTGATATGATGCTGAAATGTAATGCATCTATAGTCTATATAGGGTCATTGACCATAAAGCGGATCTCGCGGAGCTTCGTGTCGTCTCTTTGTATCAAAAGGTCTCCAAACTCTACTTCCTTTCTTACACAGGACGTCATACAATTTTACAACATTTTTCTATACAATTTTATAGGACAGTGTCACAATTCATGAATTCAAATGGCGATGTGGTGAGCTTCTTGAACATCTCGTCGGTGCGGCCTGACGACGGCGGCCGGTACACGTGTCGAGCTCACAACACCAGGGGCGCGGTCGATCACTCCACCAGACTCAATGTTTATGGTAATTGTTTAATAGCAATATAGTATTTTTCTTAAAAATATATTACACTTTGAATAGTTTTTCGACTAACTGTAATCTCACCTGTTGACAAATGATTATGATCTTGAAGACAAAGCTCGCGGATTAATAAACAGATGCCATATATACAAAGGAGCTATTGGCATTCTTTTAATAGCATAGATGGGAACTTATTGTCAGTCTATTTATTACTAGTATTTATATTGCTTTCTCTACGTAAATTAATAAAGTTATTTTCCATCTGCCTATCTTTAATTTAAATCATTTTTAGTTTCATTAATGTGCTCTGCCAGTTTTTTAAATTATTTACTTCACTTCACAATTCGGCCAAGTTGTATAAAATGTAGTCACATCACAAGTATATTGTAGCATGTCGATTTAAAGAATTTAAACCATACAAAATGCGAAAGTTTATAAGTTTTTTATTGTACATTTTTTATACGAAACTGTTGATTGTTGGTAGGTACACCTTCAATAAGAAACATCGGGCCGGTCCGCGTCGTGGCCGGCGTCAACACAACCATCTACTGTCCATTCTCCGGATTTCCAATCAGGTTGATGGAGGTGCATTTGTTTAGTAAAATTATAAGTTCCGTTTTCATTTTCTTTTGTAGTTCAGTGTTTAATTCTATACGCCCTATCGTTTGATCCTGCTGTTTTGTAATCTAATATAGTTTTCGTCCCTGTACATACTCCCAAATGTTACGTATCAATTTTTAAGTTCAGTTTAATTTTATACTGTTTGAATATTCTCTAATGAAAACTTGTTATGTGCATCACTGGATGCAGGTGAAACAGGACCATTCCTTATAGCATTTTATGAGGAAGTTCCAACGTATTCAACAGCGAACAAGGTATGGTTGCCGTTAATACAAATTAACAATAATCCATTCCCAAAAATCATAATGAAATTCACAGCAAAGCATTAGCCTTTGATGTTAATAGTTGAAAACTGATTTTCCAGTGAGATTCGATGGCAGCGCGGTGGCCTGGACCTCAGTTCCACAGGCGGCAGAGCATTATCCGGGAATAACGGTGAGCTGCTCCTATGGCCAGCGGAGCCGGCCGACGCGGGGGTGTACTCCTGCAGAGTGACTGCCCCTTCGGGACAATACGCACAGAAGGACGTGCAGATATTTGTTAGAAGTTAGTTGGTGTTTAACATTTCCTGCTTCTTTATGTACTTTTACCTTTTTTTCTATTATAAAATGAGAGATTTCATCGTAATCATGTCCGTAGTAATGATGGTGCAAAGTTCATCCTGCTTGAGTGATCTTTTGTATTTTTCTATCCATTCAATACTATTAATCAACTATTATTGGTACAAATAATGACAGATAAATCATTACATATTTTTACATTTGTATTGACATTGTATTAGGTTCGCCTAGTGTCAAATTCATCTTTTTATCTTGTAATTGCAACTTTGTGTTATTTTTTTTTTTCGTTAAATTTAAATTTTTACTACTTGATATTTCAGATCCGCCAAAAATAGCTGGTTTCACTTTCCCAACTGACCTAGTGGAAGGTAGTTCCATCCAAGTACTATGTGGCATCACGTCTGGAGATAAACCGGTCTACTTTTCTTGGTTAAAGGATGGACAGCATATTCCTTCGAATTTACAAGTGAGTATCGTAATCCTGATTTCATTAGCTACTATATTTTAGAACAACCTATATAGCGTTATATTAGGCATTGCTTTGGTATGGTATGGTATCGATTTGTATGAATTAGGTCCCTATTTTACAATAATGCAATAGATTTAGTTGCTTTTATTTAACTTATGAGTCTTTTAATTTTAATTACATCTATATCAGAGGGAGACTTTGTACAAAAGTCGATTGTTTGGGTATCTCTGTCCCATGTGTGTTTCTACCGTGAAGCAGTTGTGTTTGCATGGTTGTTTTGGTTTGAAGGGTGGGATATGACGTGAATTTACAGGGTACAGAGGAATAATATCTGAGTCCTCAGGAATGGCAACGTATGGGAAGTATCATTGGCAAAACAGTATACTCTGTTATGTCCATGGTACTGCTCATGTCTATAGGCGACGGTTACCACTTTCCATCAGGTGGGCATCAGCTTGTTTGCCATTCTAAGTTGTATAAAAAAAACAGTGTATATGTGATGCAGATACTAATTGCTACTATAAAACATTGTGCATTATCATTACAAAACTTTGACAGTATATTGAATACGAAGAGGATTGCTTTCTTCGATAAGAGATTTGATGAGAAATAACAAAATACTTAAGTTCTTAGTCGTGCCAATTTAGAATATGAACTTTTCTTAATTGTCACAAGTTTGCAGTGTACCTCCAGATATTCTCTGATTTCTCATAACACGAAGCATCCTAATAACATTAAGGCTATTAGTTTCAAAATATAAAATTTATTTATAAATAGGTACCATTTGATATTTAACGTAGGTTTGTTTGAATGCTTAAAAAATCAAAGAATCATTTGCATATAAAAGTTAAGTGACCAACAAAAAACGTATAGAAATAGCAAGCGTCAAAATATATTAAAAATACTTACTTTTTTCGGTGTGTCAAGGTTCAACAAGAACTGAAAAGGACTATCCGATAACTTCCATTGTTTAAATCAGAGTGTCAGACTCTAAGATTTTATTGACCTTTGAATACTGAATGTAGTTCGTATCTTCATGGAAGGTCCAAGAGAAGTCACTGGACGAGTTCAGTTTCCTGATCTTCTCGCACGTGACGTCGAAGCACAGCGGCGAGTACACGTGCGTGGCGAGCAACTCAGCCGCTGAGGTCAACCACACCGCTTCACTCGCCGTCAAAGGTAGCGCATACATTACGGTATAGTACCATAGTGGGGATATTACTGTAACAAAGAAAAAGCGAGTCGGACTTGCGCAATGACGGTTCCGTACAAAAACATCAATTTTTATTTTTTTGTGAAATAACTACAAATTTACGGTTTTCGGATTTTTACCTTTACTTGTGCTACATAACATTGTTTCTTGCCAAATTTTGTGATTCTAAGTCAAAGGGTTAAGTTTTGATTCCCTTTAATATCAAAATATGTGATGTAAATGTAACATAAACGGCTTCTTTTGATTGCATCGATTTAGAACTTACATTATTTTATATGATATTAATTTCAACTTGATACCTCCACGAGTTTCTAAGAAAAAGGGTATTGACAATCGGACGGATGGACGATAAAGTGATCCTATAATGGTTCCGCTTTTTTCCTTTGGAGGTACGGAACCCTAAAAAGGTCAATTTTAAGGATCAACAGCTTCTTAGTTACATTAGCGAAGGTCACCAAAAGGAAACTTTTCATTAAACTAACTGCAGTGATTACCAATTCCCATCAGGAGGGCCGTCAGCTTAATTACCATTCTAAAATGCATAAACAAATCTGCATGAACACTTCGAAGTTTGAGAAAGAAGATTTTTTTATCAATATAATAACAAGTTTTAATTTCTTTACTTCCATTTATCCCAGTGGCGCCTTCGTGGGTGTACGAGCCCCAAGATGTATCAGCTTTGCTCGGCACTCAAATATTGACGCACTGCGCTACAAAAGGTTATCCCGAACCAAGAATCACTTGGCTAAAAGGACAAGGTAAACACATTTACCAGCAATAACTTTTTCGTTTTACCCAAACATAGACGCTTTTTATCTACTTATTAATATGTAGAAATGACTACGTCCATAAATGTTTTATTACGTACGTACGTTTTAAACCAATGTCTATTTGAGAAACTCTTTTAAAGCCTTTTAATTATTCTGATTTAACATTGTCGTACATAATTTTCTTTTAGGCACTGGAGTGGGTGATTTTCGTCTAGTATCGAACTCGGACCTGCAGTTCTCAGTGCTCACCAACGGGACACTGAGCATAGCGCCGGCCGCTCATCACCACGAGGGGCAATACATGTGCAGAGCCGAAAACGGTATTGGGAGGGGATTGTCTAAGATTATAACTGTCTCAGTCAATGGTGAGTTTTCACGAGAAAAATTTAGGTTGAAAAATTTTCAAATCATCAGAAACTTAAGAAGACTGTTTAGTTGATTACAATTATTTTATTTAATTTCGCTACCATTTGCATGCGTGTTACTACCAACATTGACTATAATATTGACTACTATTATTATAGAAGTTCTAGCTATTCTACATAACTGGCTAAAATTAAAATTTCAATTTGATATATTGTTTTAAAATAATCATTAAAATACAGGGAAGGGGACTTACCATAATTATGTATTCCGTAATGTCCACATCTATAGATGACAGTGCAGATCAGAACGATAGATGTCTAAGATATATATTTTATGTATTTAGCGTCGCTTAAATATATCAGTCCGGTAATAAGCGGTGAAGGTTGTCCCCGCAGAGCCGGCGCACTTCGAGTTCTCGTCGCGCAACATGACGGTGCAGCGCACGGCCGCCGCCGCGCTGCACTGCGACGCGCGCGGCGACGCGCCGCTGCAGCTGCACTGGACGCACAACGCGCGCCGCCTCGACCTCGCCACCTACCGGTACCGCCTGCTCCTCGCCGCTGTCTTCTCACCCTAGCAAGCTGCTTACTTATTAGTATACTTAGTAGTAGCATTTTTTCATCATCTTCCTACCCCTATCCCAATTATTATTTAAGGTCGGCGTAATATTTTTTCCCCTTCCCTTCTTCTCTATTCCCAGTAATTTCCGCATTCACTCCCATTCTATTGGCATTCTTTATTAAACATGAATCGAAATCAAGCTGTCGATATAGCTGATGAATAGTGGTAACATGCGCACGTAGACATGAACAGTACCGTGGAGCCTATGTTACTCATAAATTCCCTCATTATTTCAACCGTTAACTTTCCCACTACTGAATTAAAGCATTCCCCATAAGGGGTGTTTTACTAGTAGTAGAACCACGCTTGGCAGGCGGATTGGCAACCGCAGTTAGGCTTTTAGGTGTGTTTTAAGAGGAACGCTGCTGCTGCCCGTCCCTCTACCATTAGGCATTTGCCTCTTAAGAGACCCACAGGAATGGAATAAGGAATAAATAACTTTATGCTGTTATTTCCTAATAACTGAGATTTCATGCTTCCATATCCAGAATTACACTTTTATATCCCACTCACCAGAAGAACACTTTGTACAAAAGTCGTTTGCATGGGCACCTCTATCCTATTTGTGTTTGTACCGCGAAGCAGTTGTGTTTGTATGGCTGTGTTTCGGTTTGAAGGATGGGATATGGTAGTGAATTTACAGGGTACAGTGGAATAACACCTAAGTCCTCAGGAATGGCAACGCATCAGGAGTATCATGGGTGAAACAGTATACACTGTTATGTCCATGATACTGACGATTACCACTTTCCATCTTAAACCGTTTGTTTGCCATTCTAAGTTGCATAAAAAAAATCCCACTCAAATGAATATGATAACCTGACAATCATAGATATTTGACAACAGAAATATGTTTTGTCGTAAAGTATACATACTGTCAATTTTTGTACGGAGTGTCCGCGAGACGGAGTACGAAGAAGCAAAGCCTAAAATACTTGTTAAGTTTTTAATGCCCATCAACCTTGGGTAGTTGATAGTTGAATTACTTAAATTTTATTGAATTTGGCTATAACCTAATTTTCCAGGGTGTCAGTATCGGAGAAACGTTCAGAGAACGGCGTTAGTTCTCAGCTGAACATTGCTCATGCGGAGAGACGTGACTCAGGAGTGTACAGGTGTCGCGCCGAAAATTCTTACGGCCGGGACGAACTGCTCATATACTTAGCTGTGCAAGGTAATTCCAACAATTCTGCAAGGAAACAAAAATCTAAATGTTATTGATTTTTATATCTTTAATTAAACATTATCCAAAATAGCATATAACTATAAGAAAGTATGTTTAAATAATGTTGTCTGTATTATTAACTCTGCCACACTTGTATATTTGAAATTTACATGCCAGTGGTATGACTTTTAGTTTGTATGAAGTAGTGTGATATTAAAACTACTGGGTTTGGAGACATATACGTGATATATACTTATCACCAAACTAGGCATCAAAATCACAGAATAATATAATAATAGAATAATCATGATATCAATTTCAATGTTCTTAATTTATTACTTTTAATACGATACAATACTGCAGCCTTCAAGCGGGGTATAAAAACACACTCACAAGTTGTTAAGATGACAATTGCTAACACAGAATCTCTGTGGTGGCAACCCTCAAATTTGAACTAAATTACTTGTTTACCATCAGATGAAGTGTGGTCACTTTGACCAACTGTTATGAAAATACCTGTTTCTATCCTTCAGAAGTGTGGTCACTTTGACCAGCTATTATGAAAAATACCTGTCTATGTCTTTCAGAATTCCCCGAGGCGCCCCGTGGACTGCAAGTGGTCCAGCGCAGCGGGCGCGGTGCTACTATATCGTGGCGGCGCGGCTACGACGGGAACGCACGCGTCCACCTCTACAAGCTGCAGTACCGAGTAGTTGGTGACCGCGATCGCGACCACGACCGGCAGGGCACCGATGCCAGGGACGACTGGGCTGATGCACCCACACGGGACGTTCCAGCAGACAGGGTTACAACGAGGTAACCATAGATTATTTACTATTTTTTGCCTATCACTTCATACTAGTAGATTTTGGAAGTAGAATAACCAGTGAAAGTATAAAGAGTGACCAAATTTATTTTGGTAAGTTCAAGGAGTTACGACGGTTGAAATTATCTCTGAGTATGTATACCTGGGACAAGTTGTCCAAATGGGTAAATCTAACTTCGACCGAGAGGTCAACCGACGAATCCAACTCGGCCGGGCAGCGTTGGGAAAACTATGCTACATCTTTTCATCCAAAATACCTTCATTTGAAGACAAAGGTACCTACATCTCATTTGAATTTGAAGACAAAGGTCTTTAACCAGTGCGTGTTACCAGTGATGACTTACGAAACCAATACGTGGTTCTACACGATTGCCCGTATGCAAAAGCTTGAAGTTACTCAGCGGGCTATGGAGAGGGCTATGCTTGGAGTCTCTTTGCGTGATACAATCCGAAATGAGAATATCCGCAAAAGAACTAAAATAACCGACATAGCCCGAAGGATAAAAAAAGCTAAAGTAGCAATGGGTCACATAGCTCGAATAACCGACAACCGATGGGGAAGAAAGGTTCTTGAGTGACAACCGCGTACGGGTAAACGTAGTGTAGAATGAGCCCTCCCCCCACTAGATGTAGTGATGATATGAAATGCATTGCAGGGAGTCAGTGGATGCAGGCGGCTCAGGACCATTCTTTATAGCGGTCTTTGGGGGAGGCTTATATCCAGCGGTAGACGGGTAGTGGCTGAAATGATGATGATGAAGTTCAAGAAGTTGAAATTAAACGATACTTGATAGAGGACAATTTTATATTTTAGAGAGGATGCAGCTGACCTGGGCTCAGAGATAACCCTGGAATATAACGTGGAGGGTCTACGTCCAGCTACAGCGTATGCGCTACGACTAGCGGCCGTCAATGCTATCGGCGAGAGTGAATATTCAGACTCAGTCATTATACAAACGTCAGAAGAAGGTACCTATGAAATAATGTGAAATATTTAAAGTTGCGTAAAAGAAAAAAAAATTTAATGGATATATCATTTTTCAGCACCATCTGAGCCTCCTCAGAATGTACAAGTACAAGCGACAGAACCCGGAGAACTACTCATCAAATGGCAGGTTAGAAGAAAAATCATTGACTGTCCTTAACTCTGATTTAAAACTAAGCGATCCAATTATATTAAGTTTAATATTGGTTTAGTCGAACAGTGTTAGCGAAAACGACAACTTTCTTTTAAGTGTAAATCTTGCGTGACGACACATCATGCATGTGAAATTTGCCACGCACGCATAATTCGGCTCACTGCGCCCGCAGATGCGCAAACGCAGCGAATAGTGCACCGTTGTTTAAGATCTACACTCATATTATGTTGCAAACAGTCATATCAACCGCATGTCACCGCGTTTCGCCGCGGACGGCTTCCATTCAAGGCGGAATGTTTATAAGAAGTATAATTATATAATTATATTATGCACTCATATTTGTGTATGTTTGTTTTATTTACGTTATTTTTACCTGTATCTTTCTCGCACTAGATTACCCGCCAATTAATTATTTTCTCTCTAACTACACTGGGTTGGCTGGAAGAGATCTCTTTTAGAGATAAGCCCTCCCTTGCTAACAAGTTATTAAACAAACCGCTGTATCTATTGTTCAAGTGCAATAAAGATTATATATGTATATTGTATGCGGGCAGCCGCCGCCGCAGGAGTCGTGGAACGGCGAGCTGCTGGGGTACGTGGCGTGGTGGCGCGAGGTGGGCGCGGAGGGCGCGGGCGCGGGCGGCGCGCTGACGGCGGGCGGCTGGGGCGCGGCGGCGGCGCGCGCGCCGGGGCTGCGGCCGCGCGCCACCTACGAGGTGCGCGTGCGCGCCTACAACGCCGTCGGCGCCGGCCCGGCCTGCGCGCCGCTCGCCGCCGCCACGCTCGAGGCAGGTCAGTGGCGCGCGTGTCGCTCGCTGTCATTGTTGTCGCTGCACGGTACCGGCGCCGGGGCTGCGGCCGCGCGCCACCTACGAGGTGCGCGTGCGCACCTACAACGAATTTTTATCACTGTCGTTATGCGACAATGTGTTAATTTGTAGAGAATATAAAAAGCCAAATTAGTGTTTTCAGCTTTAAGAAACAGCAAATAAATAAAGTAGCAAAAGAAAACAAATATTATTATCTACTTACAGCACCGGAAGCACCACCAGAGCGTGTTCGCTGCGAGACAATATCGTCTCAGTCCATCCGCGTGTGGTGGGAGCCACCGCCACCTGCTGCCCGCGGAGGAGTACTGCTGGGATACGAATTGTTGTATGAGGTTATTTGTTCTGTATTTATCTATACTAATATTGTAAAGAGAAAGGATCTGATAGTTTTTTTTTTTTAAGGTAGATAAACTCAAAAACAACTTTTTTCACTTATAGAAAGCCACTTTATCAGCGAGTAATATAAGTTATACTAAAAAAAAAATTATATACCCGCATAAAAAAGCGGACCATACTGTTAGTATTATATAAAATAAAAAGCTAACTCTTTGTGATTAAACCATTATTACTATTTTTTTACTATTTATTTTTAACTTGTCGTGCATTGTCATGAAAATGTATCCTCTCATTTTATTATATGATGTAATTTAACCTATTGACAATTTGATATATTGGCATTTTTTCGTATCTTCGGTTAAGATACGCGGAATGTGCCGCTAGCCTTAGAGGCGTGTGTCCGATGCAGGCGTGGGAGGAGAGCGGCGAGGCGGAGGTGGTGCGCAGCGGCGGCACGGAGGCGCTGCTGCAGGCGCTGCGGCCCGCCGCCAACTACTCGCTGGCCGTGCGCGCGCGCACCGCCGCCGGCGTCGGCCCGCCCGCCGCCGCGCACTGCCGCACGCACGAGGACGGTCAGCCAGCCTCATACCGCACTATAAGCAATAATACCCCACTATGATCTCACCTCTCCTCCACAAATACACGTCAGCACCTAAATTATTTTTCCAAGCTAATCGTAACTACACATACATACATTGCCACCTGTACAGACGTTAGTTGTTTCTGTAGTTATGAAAAGCACACATCACGGCATTTGCATGAAGTTTCTGGATTGTGGTCATAAAATACTTTGTTCTATAACTTACATTTTACACCAATAGAAATTACTTGCGTCGAGTGTATCTTGAGCTTCAATAATTAAAATATACTTTCAGTGCCCGGAGCACCGGCTGATATTAAAGCTTTAGCAAACTCGGAAGACACGGTGATGGTCAGCTGGCTTGCTCCAGTACACAAGAATGGCAAGATCAAACACTACACCGTGTACAATAGACCACAAAGGTATGACACTATTGATAGAAGCAATTTTAGAGATAGTACGCACGTAAAACGGATAGGATAGTATATCCTACCGTGTTTCAAAAATTTACTAGAGGTATTATTTTCTAGATACTGAATGGTTGTCGTATAACTTTAATTTGTTGTAATTTACTACTTTAAAATTCACACAGTCTAAATCACTGAATTTAAGACCATGTCGTACAGTACTATTCTCATATACTTTCCTCATTTTGCTTGTTTAAGACACCAATAACAAAAGTCCTAAGGAATAATTTACTTATATGTAATCATTTTGTTCTCGTCATACGACTTCTTTAGATATCGAGTAAAGAGCCCTTTTGACAGGACAGGACAGCACTCCCAAGTGATGGTACTCCATAAGGACGGTGAAGAGGAGTACCAGGTAGAAGTTCGGGGACTGCAGACGCACCAGACCTATGAGTTTTGGGTGACGGCTGCCACCGCATCGGGAGAGGGCGAGATGAGCGCTATCGTTGCAAGAAAGCCTAACGCTAGAGGTGAGTTCTTTTATCGTGAATGTATTGAATATATATAATAAGGAGTTGTTTGGTTTTTCCAATTTTTTTGTATGGTGCAAAGACTTAAACGATCAGGCAACAAGACCGCCGAAAAATTGATGTTTTAGAGATGTGGTGCTAGAGGCAAATATTGCAAATACCTTGAACTGCCTTCCGAACTAACGTTTCTGGCTGAAGAGGTTCTGGGGAGGCTGCTGTAGTATGTGGTGTCCGAACACAATCGCTGTAATTTGCGATGAGTATTGCTCGATTGAATTTTCTTTAAGAGATAAAGATGTCCTGCGTTTCTTTAACAGGGAAAGATATTATCTAGGCGGGACATCTTTATCTGTATTGATATAATTAATATCGCTGCGAGGTCCTGGCATAGAATGGGCCATCCATTTCTCTTCCCTAGGTATCGTAAGAAGTGACTAAGGGAACTTAATGGTGGACGGATGGTTAGCAGCATCGCTTTTAAACATCACTAAAGCCTAACTGCGGTTGCTAATCCACCTGCCAGGCGTAGCATCTACCAGCAAAACACCTCTCCCTCTTTTATTTAGTAGGCCTATGTTCAGCAAAGGAAATAATAGTTACATTATGATATTATTTGATCTGTCGTGTATGGGTGTCCGCCAGCGCCGGCAATGTTGGCGTCTTTCGCTCGCCGCGTGGTGTCGGCAGAGGGCGCACGTGTGCGGCTGCAGTGCCGCGCGGCCGGCGCGCCACCGCCGCTGCACGCCTGGTCTCGCCGTCGCGCTGCACCACCACTCCTCGCTGACCCGCGGCTGCTGCTTGACGGCAACGACCTCGTCATACTCAGTCAGTATACATCTCTGTTCAGCACGTATATATAGCCCATTAATGAATACCAGAGGTAAATGGCCTCTGATCCCTGGCATCTCCATTATTCGTGACCAAGGTTATAGGAACAGTGAAGTAGGAGGTGTGGAGAGTTTTCGTAAGAGATTTAGTTACCGATAAAAACGACTGGATCTCACAACATATAATACACGAATTTTGAGAACAGATAAGAACATTATGGAGCTGAAAGAAGAGGTGAACAAGTTACACTGGGGTATTATAGGATTATCTAAAGTTCAAAGACGTAGAAGATACGATAATCCTTTTTTTTGTACTTCTGTACAATACGCTCGAAGTTCTCAACGAGTATGTATACTTGGGACAACTTGTTTAACTTGGTAAATCTAGCTTCGCTCTAGAAGATAATTAACAGATTAACTCGGCTAGACAGCATTCAAAAAACTATGCTACTACGTCTTCTAATTCAAAATATCTCCGAAGTTGAAAATGAAGCTTTTTAACTAGTCCGTGTTGACAGTAATAACCTATTAAAGCGAAACGTGTTCCTACATGGTTAACCGTACCCAAAGTTTTATATTACTCTGCGAGCTGTAGTAAAGGTTATCCTTAGAGTTTCTTTGTGTGATAGAATTCAAAATAAGAAAGTTCATAGAAGAACCAAAGTGACTGACATAGCTCAAAGAATAAATAACTTGAAGAAGCAACAGGTTCTTGAGTGGTGATCTCGTACGGGCAAACACAGTGTAGACCAGTCTCCTACTAAAAGGAGTGATGAATTCAAATACATCGCAGGTAGTTATGGATGTATGTGGCTCAGGATAATTATGGCAGTCTATGGGGGAGGCCTATATTTAGTAGGGGACAAATAACAGCCGATACTATGAACCACGATGGTTTCAGGGCAGGGCAGAGGCCGAGCTGGTAGGGTATTAACCTCGTGATTAGTAAGGATCGGTTGCGCGCGCAGGTGTCGGCGAGGCCGTGGCGGACAACTACACGTGCACGGTGCGCAACCCGTGGGGCGCGGAGCGCGGCACGTGGCAGGTGCTGGCCGCGCGGCCGCCGCCCGCGCCGCGCGCGCGCCTGGCCGCCGCCGCGCCCGCCGCGCTGCGCCTCGCCTGGGACGCGCCGCCCGCCGCGCTCCTCGCCGCGCTCAGGGGTAACACGCACAACCACTCTGCGCCACAAATATTATTAACGATCACAGGCCGGTGCACGACGTGCTTAACATTGGAATTTAACCTAATTTCATAATTATAGAAAACCGATTTACAAAACATAAAACAACTCTCAATAAACTAAAAAACAAAAACAAAATTTTACAATTAACAAGTAAATTATTAATAATAACTTGTTTAGTTGGATCACAATCCATATCTTACTGATACTAAACCTAGAAAACTAAGTTAATAAAATGCAATATTGAATTCATTATTTCTGTCCTCCTCCAGCTGCACTGAACTTTTAACAGTGCTGAGTGCATAGTGTTCCAGTACTACTGGAATAGACAATCTCGCTTCTCTAGAATTAAGGATGAAATAAGTAACCAGCTATTTGTTTGTTTCATCCTTCTAATCAGCAAAATATTCACGAAAGAAAAATCCAGTATTACCTATATTATAACAGTGAATTTAGATTTTAGTTATTGCTGTGAGTAATTCAATTAATGTCACGCTGCAATATTTAGGATATACGGTGGAGCACAAGCTCGCAGATGAAGAGCAAGCGACTGCTTGGATTGCGACACGACTAAGTAGCAACGCGCGCTCGCACACGCTCGAACGCCTCGCATGCGGCACGCCTTACCGCGTAAGGCTTATCGCACACAACGCGGTTGGCGCATCACCGCCCAGCGAGGAATTGATTGTCTCCACCAAAGGGGGACGTAAGTTTAACAATAATAATAACAGCATTACAATTTATTAAGTAAGTAAAATTCCGTGTGGCCCTGGTATAGAATAAGCCTACCCTTCTTTTCCCGTGGATGTCGTAAGAAGCGATTAGGGGAGGGCGAGGGATGGGCAGCAGCCTTCCTCTCAAAACATCTCCAAAGCCTAACTGCGATTGCCAATCCGCCTACCGAGCGTGATAACTACTGTCAAAACCTTCTTTATGTTCAGCAGTTGACAAATAAAGGCTGATATGAGGATGATGAAGGGAGTAAAGTGATTAACTTCGTAACAATTTATTACTATCCCTTTCTGCCAAAGAAGGATTAGGAACAAAATATTACCTGCTACCTCACTGTGCTGGCCAAGTAGCTTGGTATACATTTTAAAATTTTTCTTTTTCTTGCCCATGTGTTATGTACTACGCTTTATTCTTTTTTTTTTTTTAATATATCAAGGGAGTAAAAAAGACTAGACAGCCCTTGTCAATTCTTAAATGGATGATAAGACAATACGCTGCACATCACTGAATTAAAAGTTTTTTCATGCCATGTTTTGTCTGATTACTTTCAGCTTCGCGAGCCCCATCAGAGAAAGACCTAATCGCCACAAACAGCACGTGCGCCCGTATCAATCTGCTGACTTGGGACAGTAATGGATGCCCTCTTACTCAGTTCACGGTGTCAGTGCGGAGCTTCGAGGAGACCACGTGGCGGTCGCAAACGGTCCCAGCGGTCGAGCCGACTGTTTTGTGTGGGCTGGTGACCGCGACATGGTACCACTTAAAGGTGGTCGCCAACAGTGCCGCTGGTTTCACCACTGGCAATTATTATTTTTCAACCCTCACAGAGGATGGAGGTATGTTCAGCTTGACAGATGATTTTTTATAAGACTTTTTTTTATTAAATATGTGTCTAGTGAAATTAAGGAAGTGGAACTGCTTTAGATTTTTTTGTTACGGAGGTTGAAAACGCGAGCGTTAATTCTAGTGTTGCAAGTGTTTATGGACCATGTGATGTTTTCTTTAAATGGATGATAATGGAATGTCAACCCCACCTATACCAACGGTATACGCTGGCGGGGCACCAGTGAGGGATAATAGGTGAGAATGAAAAAGCAGGTCAGTTAGCCCATCGTGACGAATGCAACAAGTATTAATCATGATGGTTTCCAGGGAAAACCACGTGGAGGTTGACCTCATAGGACTTGCTGTTAGTCCCTATTACTAATAATCCCTTTCCCCTTACCATGTGATGTTCTCAGTAACAATATTTTATGTTCTCACTTCTTGGTATATTTACGACGTCAAAAAAAGTTGTTAAGGGAAGAAAGCCTTTTCTATTTTAGTTGGTATGATTATGACAGAGAACTTGTCATAAAAGTTCCTAAGGTACATAGAAATAACAATGGACAGAGCGCATCCCGGCGCCGGCGCAGTTCCCACCGGGCGGCGAGGGCGCGGCGCCGCGCGCGGCTGCCGTACTAGCCGCCTGCGCCTGCGCACTGCTCGCTGCGCTGCTGCTGCTCGCCGTGCTCGCTTACAGGACCAGGTTTGTATCCAGCACCATCAAATAAAATGCAAAGTGAAAATTAAATGTAAACGTTTGATTAAAATACTCGTATAGTATTCTTATCCATACAGTAAGTATTCAAATTTGACTATGAATCAAAAAATTGCTTACTCTCTCACTATTTTATATTTTTCGAAAATAAATCGATATTAATAGTTCTAGAAAGAGTATTAAAGTTGTTGCCAATAAATCAAATTGCATACACCCTGTTACTCTCGCACGTATTACACGGAAGATCGATTGTAAATTGATGGAAGATTGGCAACAATACATTGCATATTTTCTGTATGATGCTTCACACCCCACTAGCTATCCATGTTGACTATACGCGTTAGTAGATATTCATACGATCAGATATTATTTATTTTATTTTATTAAACACATGATCATAAAATGCGTACATTTGTTTACTTTTTTCAACAGTTTTGATCGGTTTAAATAATATTGCAGTCTATCAGCACCGTGCCTTAGAAAAGGATACGAACAGGGAGACATCTCGGAGGAGGAGGACAAGTCGATAGAGAAGAGGGACAACAAGCGCAATTGTCAGCAAGTGTATACTTCATCACCTATCAAACATCCTCTCAGCAAGAAAGACCAGCAAGGTATCTTAGCGAACAAACTATTAAGGAACTAAATATTTTTGATTTTTCTGCATATTAGGTGTACAGGTTACATACATGCTCATCCGTCGTCAGTATTTCGTATTTGATCTCATTATTTCATATTACTACTAGTTCACTTTTGATCACCAATATGTACCAATATGTACGTAAATCCTACATTAAGTATTAGATTAATTATATATTTTTTCTTTTTCTTTTTTTATAAAATATGCTTTGGAAATGTCAGGATTTATTATAGACATCTTCGGTAATATTCAGTTTCATAGTCAATGTACATGAAATCTATTCGTGTCCTCGCAGAGATGTACGAGATCAGTCCGTACGCAACGTTCAGCATGTCTGGCGGGGTGGGCGGCGTGTGCGTGGGCGAGGAGGCGCAGGTGTCGGGCGGCACGCTGCGCACGTTCGGGCGCGGCGAGCCGCCGCCGCTGGCCGCCGCGCCGCCCGCGCGCCTCGCACACTCCACGCACGCAGCACACGCGGCCCACGCGGCGCCTGCGCACAAGCAGCGCTCGCCGCTTAACTCCGGTCTGTACCGCCGCATACATGTACACTGTTACGTCTCTCACACAACCACCTATCGTCACACTTGCCTTAACACCATTATCGTCTTAGTCTCGATCGTCAAATAAAATATAAATAGTAAATAATCAATTAAATTTTAAAGGTACTAAAGTAAAAGTAGTTGATTCATTTTTAACATATTTTGTCTTCATAACAAGTATACTAAATAATAGCAGTTTATTATGTGAATTTATACATAAAATATACCTGAACAATTTTTTTTTATTCTAATTTATAAAAGAATAATTCTTTCACTACGATACTAGATACGTTTGAAATATAAGTACATTATCGTAAATCCATAATCAGTTTTATTGTGTTGTTGCAGAGGAGTACACGCTGTCGCGCGCGATGACGCTGATGGTGCGGCGCTCGGAGTCCGACTCGGACTCGAGCGGCTCGCCGTGCGCTGATTGCAATAGTTCCAGCGTCTCGTACAGGATGCCCATAGCGCCATCTAAAGGTACGCTCAAACACTAGCAATTGCAGTATTAATGCACTTTCTAATGGGCTACTTTACCAAATTCGAACACACTTCTAATAAAACAATTATTACTAAACAGAATTTGTATAGAACAGTGCATTGTGCATTTATGTCAAATGATTTAAGTCGACTAGGTATTTCTGTTTATTATGGGATGGTTTTTAGTTTCTTGGACAATATTTACATTTATTTTGTGGGTGTATTGTGTGGAAGAATTTCAGTATACTTTTACGGCGGAGGCCATATTGTTTAGAATTATTAGATTGTTGTAGATTTTTCAAAAGTTTTAGAAAAATATTTTTAATAGAAAATCAGATTATTAGAAATATTTTTAATAGGGCAAACAAATTATTTATATTTTCTTATTTCCGTTATATTTTAGATACTCGTAACCTTATATTCAGAATATACTAGATTTGGTTATTGTTTATTTGGCCTGTAGGTTTTGTTTTAAATTATTACGTTTGTCTAGGACAATATAAGGTGTCTCCCTCTATGTTTAATAAAAAAATATGATTAATTTACATTGTAATTACGAATTTATTCTTCCTTTTATTTAAGGATTTCCTCTTGTCGGTACAACTAATTCATGCATCTTCTTCCAATCAGTTCTATCCCAGGCCATATCCTTGATCTCCCTATACGACATGACATACAGTGCCTCTTTTATCTGTCCCATGTTATTCGAGGAATAATCTTCCACTTCCTCTTTTGCTCTCTTAAAAAAATCGTCATGTCGTATAAGATGGCTCAATCATTGACATCCTAGTTTGAGTACTGGATGCCATGTTTTTATTACTATCCTAGTTTATTTCAATAGACTTTAATGGGAATAGAAGAATCATTGATTGTACTATAAGACAGGCCGCTGAAGTTCAGCAGTAATGTCAATTAGAGAATATTTCTGTGATAATAACGAGGCATGTCTGTCCGTTTGCACGTGCAGGCGGCGCGGAGGAGGCGCTGCGCGCGGCGACGGACTCGAGCGCGGAGTCGGCCGCCGCCGAACGCCGCCGCCGCCGCCCGCGCCGCCACCACGCGCCCGCTGCCGCCAGGTCACTACCACCACAGCTACCTCGCATTATACCGGGTGTAAGGGCCTGGTTGACAAAAACTGAAACAGTGAATTCGGACCATTATTCTGAACTGGAAACTAGTGGAAATTCTTTCAGGAAATTTTCAATTTTGTTCCAGTTTTATTCATTTAAAATCATGTTCTCTATGATATTATATCATAATATAAATAAATAATACTTTATAGTGAAATACTGTGAATTATCAAAAAAACAGCAATGTAATATTCATGTTAAAATCCTACCACGACGCGCGGAATCAGCCGTGTAAGATCAACGCCACAAGCGTACGAAAACTACCTACAAAGAAGCGCCGTTATTCACGCAGTATAGATTACCCGCGTCGCGTGGAGCACAGTATGTCTTAAATTTCAAATACATTGCGCGGCGTCAAAACTCAGAATCGTTAATTATATAGCTATGGTGCATTTTCGATGGGAAAGTAATCTACCATCTGATTGAGACCATTCATCTAAATCAGCTGTTTTCGTTTTGACCAACCTGTCCCTTCCACCCTGTATACTCGTATCTCATAGGCAGTGTCTCCATACAAATGTTTCACGAAAAACAACTAACACTTAACTTTTAGTCCGATTTCGATCTGAAAAGGAGAAACACTTAAAAATTAATCAGGACTGGAACGGAACTGAACTGGACTGTAGAATAAGTACACGCATTATTTCCTGCATAATATTTTATCACATCGAGATTGGACCGATAATAAACCGAGACCAGTATTACAGTGTGAACCTACCTTTGTTCTGATATACCTACTTAGCAGAAAAGAGAAGTCATTATTGCAATTCCTAAGAATTATGATCACACGCCGGACACTTCATATAAATACGCTACGATCTGTGCTTGTCACAACTACAGAAAGAATTAACTCTACTTGTAACATGTGTGTGTGTTTGTATGTGTGTGTGCGTGCGTGCGTGCGTGCGAACGTACGTGCGTGCTTGTGTGCGTGCGTGAGTACGAGCGAGTATGCGTGCGTGCGTGTGTGCGTGTGTGTGTAGTTATAACTAGCGCGGGAATATAGAATTTGGACATTGGTGCGTATTTACAAGGTGTTGAGGTCAGATCGCAGCGGACGGCAGGGAGTGTTCATACTCTATTTTAATATTGTTACTGATAATATAAGTACAGTTTTACAGTGTAAGTACAGTATAAGTTATAGTATTATACTACTGTGCCCTGTAAGGTCTCTATCATATTCCACCCTTCAAACCGATATACATGTTTACAAAAATATCCAAGTCCAGACTATATAAACGCAAAAAAATTGTTTTTGTTACAAAACAAATATGATTTATCTGTGTTTACATAAATATTAACTAAACGATAAAGTGTAGAATTCGCAATTATGATATAATTTATATGTATTATAGATTATTTTATATGTAACTTACAAGTGCAATAAAGAATATATATATAATTTTTAATGAAATTTAAAATCGCCAATATTTGTACAACTAGTGCTGACATCTGCCTATAATCTGTGGTTCTACACAGTGTTCCGACTTCCTGAAATAACTTCCCTCTTATGTAGGGTGGCAGAGTTAATGATACACTCCCAAAACATTTATTTTATATCGTACCGAGAGATGGCGCTTTTCTTATTTTCAGTGTAGTAAGCTAATAACGTCATCGCATACACTGTCTAAATGTACTTTGTATTTTTATTTTTTTCAAAAGAGAAGACATAGCCTCCTAACCCCTGGCGGGTTATGCAAAGAATATCAACAAGAAAAATATTATGAAAATAAATAAATTTTTTGTTTTTTTTTTGCAAGGCCAAATAATTTATAAAAATAAACTCTTAGAAAAAAAAAATTCTTAACAGACACCTTTCTAATTTTTCTCTGTTATTTTATTACCTTGTTAGGTAACTTACCAAATTTTGTCAAATTCGGAAACATTAGGTATATACTTCTAGGGGTTAGATAGACATAAAATACTGTATTTTAAGATTTACTGATATATATATATATATATATATATATATATATATATATATATATATAATATATAATATATTTGGGTGACGATCTCATATAAATAAAGATAGTGTAGAATGCCCTCACTAGATAGAGCAACGACTTGTACATTACTCGTATATTAGATACCAGAGGGAGACTTTGTACAAAAGTCATTTGCTTAGGTACCTCTGCTCTATTCGTGTTTCAACCGTGAAGCAGTTGTATTTGCATGGCTGTGTTTCGGTTTGAAAGGTGGGATATGGCGTGAATTTACAGGGTACAGAGTAATAACATCTGAGTCCTCAGGAAACAGTATACTCTGTTATGTCCATGGCACTGTTCATGTCTATAGGCGACGGTTACCACTTTCCATCAGGTGGGCCGTCAGCTTGTTTGCCATTCTAAGTTGTATAAAAAAAGTTAGTGCAGCAGGTGGTGTAGGATCATTCATTATGTCAGTATATATGCCTATTTCTTGTATAATTAAATTAAAATTTAATTTCAGGTACCAACAACGGCAGGAACAGGAGAGAAGAGATTTCACCATACACGTATAAAACATAAGACAATAAAGACTGCTGCGAGCAAAATAATTGATGTACTAATAAAACGTTTACGAGATTACAGTTTTAAAATAAGAGTTTTGTAAATATTTTTATGAGTTTTGTACATTTAGATTATCGTTGCGGCCTACGGAGACTAGCCAAATTGTCAAAATTAAATTATATTAAAGTTTTATAAAATATTTTTAATTGTAAGTATTACAGGTATTATTATTGTTAATATCTGAATTGTAATATTAAGGTATAGAGATTTATAAAAGTAATGAATTATTGATTTTTTTTTTTGTTAATTCTAACACAATAAAGTCGTTTATAGATTCTAACAACCCTAGTACGTGTAAAGTTAAGGGGCACATACACGATACAAATTATTGCTTCGATCGATATGAAAAAATCCAATCGATTGATCGTTGCAAATGATAATTTAATTTAGTTCAACGGAACGGTAAACGTGCCATCAAAGACGCAAACCCAAAGATTGTATTGATATTTTAATTGATTGAATTGAATGTACGATTAAGAGATCATTAGCAATATTGGCATGTAATATGAATAATAGTTTTGCAGTGAAACGCCCAGCAATCAAATTTAAGTTGAAAATTTAAGTTGAAAGTTGAAGAGTTTATTAATATTATAGGAATCAACAACGAAACACACATGGCTACCTAAGACTTACACTTAATTGACACACGCGGCAATGTTGCCAACAGATAAAAAAACAAAGTTACCATTCTACAAATGATATTATGCACACATTACACTGTCTATATCTAATAGCATGCACCAAAAAAATGGATTCGTTGTTTCGATCAGTCTTGAAACGGCATATCGTAAATGTATACCGTACCGTCTATGGGCCCCTTTACTATGTTTCGTTGAAATGACTATCACACTCTAATGCCGGGTTCAGACAGTTCACACGGTGACAAATTTGGTCGCCGGCGAGTCGCTGGCGACTTTTAAGTTGGTGTATGGATATGAACATTAGGTTTGAGTTAAAATGGCTGGCTATCATACTCGCTGTCGCATGAACTTGGAATAAAGACGATAGAATTATTGTTGTTTGAAAAAAACAAATAGTTGAAAATGTAACTAGTATAGTATCAGTTAGTACTCCAACTGGGAATATATTCAGCCCGGACACGAGAGAGGTTTTAATCCCTTCGTGTTATGTTAACAGAAGGTAAATTTGGAACAAAGAATTATTTTTCACTTATAAATTCATATAAATTCAAAAATAAACCATTCAATAAAGTTAGTTAAAAATTTGTTATTTTCAATGGACTTTCAATTTCCCATTAGACTGTATTTTTGAAGAGGTCCAAAACGAGAAAGGTTTGAGTAAATTTATATTTTTAGTGTGTATATTACGCGTTGTTTTAGCCGATTTTAATTTAATATTAAAAGTTGCTTACATATTGGTCCCTTATTTATTTTGCTCAGTAAAATCTAATTGTAGACACAAAATTCTGTGTCTTAATTTAAAATAAAAACGATGCGTTTTATTAATTTTAAAATAATTATAGTGAGATCACTAACTAGTCATTATTGTTTTTATTAGAATTAAACTCACTGTTTTTTATGTCGCAACTCAAATGTCGCGTGGTTGAATTGAAGCAATTAACACATAAAACGATGTGATACAGTGCCTTCGTACGGACTCTTTAGTGTTATGCCGATTAATTGATTAATTATATATATATATATATATATATATATATATATATATATATATATATATATATATATATATATATATATATATAAACATTATGTGTACACTAATTGAGTATCAGCAGACTGTTTTTATGATCAAATCTCTTGTTTTTTTTTTTATGCAACTTAGAATGGCAAACAAACTGATAACCCATTAGATGAAAAATGATAACCGTCGCCTATAGACATAAGCAGCACCATGGACATAACAGAGTATACTGTTTCGCCCATGATATCCCCCATATATTGCCATTCCTGAGGACTCGGGTGTTACCCCTCTGTACCCTGTAAATTTACTATCTTATCCCACCTTTCAAACTGAAACACAGCCATGCAAACATACTTATGTTCTACCGTGAACTAAGTAGTTCAAGTAAACACGAATGGGACAGAGGTGCCCAAGCAAACGATTTTGTACAAAGTCTCTCTCTGTTTATTGATATTTTTATTAAAATTTATTAAAAGGAACTACAATAAAGTAATCTATTGAGAGTTACATATGACGGCGCAGCAATGCATCGCTCCGTGTGTTAATCGCTTTATACTTTGATCACTAGAGAATTTTGTTGTCCTGATTTGTGTGTTACCATTGTAAAAATATTAATTAATGCATGACAATATCAATCGCTAGATATAATGATTTTTTTTTATATTTAGTTAAAAATTAAACTAAAAATATAGGAAATCATATGTAAAATATTTATAATAATATACTTGACACGTTTTTGTCACTAAACTGTTTAAACTATCTGTATGTATTCGACTTTGTTTATATTATTTGTTACGCACGTAATTAAGTAACTATGGAAATATGGATTTTCTCGTGTGGTTTAAGTTAACTCTAACTCTCACTGCCGTAAATGTTTGTTAAGCTTGTAAATAATATTAATAAAATAATAAAAGCGATTATTAATACATAAAGTGTATTTTTTATAGATAATATATCTGATAGAAGATAGTAAGCACTTATGCTTGCATGGCTTTGCTGTGATTTAAAGGGTGGGATATTTTTTCAGAGGCAGACTGTACAAAAGTCGATTGCTTGGGTACCTCTGTTCCATTCGTATTTCTACCGTGAAGGAGTTGTATTTGCATGGCTGTGTTTCGGTTTGAAGGGTGGGATATGGCGTGAATTTACAGGGTAGAGAGGAATAACACCTGAGTCCTCAGGAATGGCAACGCATGGGAGGTATCATGGGCGAAACAGTATACTCTGTTATGTACATGGTACTGCTCATGTCAATAGGCGACGGTTACCACTTTCCATCAGGTGGGCCGTCAGCTGGTTTGCCATTCTAAGTTGTATTTAAAAAATACCACAAAGTAAAGTTCGTTGGTAAACGCCTATGAACGCCTGCAACACTAAGGGTGTCACGCGCGTGTTGTTGACCCTGAAGAAACCTTAATATATCCTTTTTAAAGAACCCCATACCGTAGTCTCTAGGGTGATCACAGCCTGAGCGTTTGCGGGAGAAAATTCCTTTGAAACCGCACTGTACGTGACCATTTAGGTTCAAGCGTGTGAGTGTGAATTCCCTGTCGATGGCGAGCGGTGCGATGATAAAAGGTGGCTGTGGACATTATTTCAAGCAATTCCTCAGGATATAGCAAAAAAATTACAAGGAATGGAGGTGTAACAACATAGTTTTCAGTACCATGGGTAACGGTATATTCTGTACAGTCTATACCTGCTGTTTGTCTCTATAGGCTATAGTTACTACTTTCCGTTAGATTAAACGTCCCGTCTTTGCACAGGTAGATAGAAAATAATACATATCTAGCGGGGGGGAAGGGATTGTTAGTAATACGAACTATCAGTCCCATTGCTAGCAATACACCCAATCAGGTCGACCTCTACGTGGTCCCCTCCGGAAACTATCATGCTGAATTCCAAGTCTATTCATCACGATAGGCTAACTGACCTGCCCTTTCATCCTCATTTATCATCACTCACTGGTGCCCCGCCAGCGTATATCGTTAGCGCAGGCGGGGTTACCATTCCATTATCATCCATTTAAAAAAAAAAATACATATCTAGCCTGTTACTTACTATAGGTAAAAGAATTAAAAAAATCGGTTAAGTAATTTTTAATTTTATTCATTACAAGCAAACAAACATACAAAAACATCTCTTTATAATATAAGTATAATAATTATTTATATTCGCCGTGTGGTCCCGGCATAGAATAAGCCACCCCTCTTTTTTTCCGTGGGTGTCGTAAGAGGCGACTAAGTGAAGGCGACGAATGGGCAGCAGTATCCCTCTTTAAACATCTCTAAAAGCCCAACTACAGTCGTCAACTCGCTTGCCAAGCGTGGAAACTACTGGCAAAACTCCCCTTATGGGGAAGGCAGTTCAGCAGTTAGGCTTTGGAGATGTTTTAAGAGGGACGTTGTTGCTCATCCCTGGCTCTCTCTGTACACTGTATTTGTACCTTATTATCATTTTCTTGCCCTTATCCAAATTATTTGGGATCGGTGTAGTATGTCTTTGTCCATATTACCTAAGGTTTTGGATTTTAGTTTTATGGCCAATTTTTTGTTTTATTGGATGAAAATGGAGTGGTAACCCCGCCTGCGCTAACAGGATACGCTGGCGGGACACCAGTGAAGGGTGATCGATGAGGATGAAAACAGGCCAGTTAGCTCATCATGATCAGAAATGAACCATGATAGTTTCCAGGGGGAATCGCGAGGAGGTCGACCTGGTTGGATATATTGCTAGCAATGGGATTCTTAGTCTCCATTACTAACAATCCCTTTCCCCCCTTTTATGGCCAATTAGGTGACTGCTGTTAGCTCTCCTTGGGAATGTATTTGTTGGTGGTATCCGTTACCTACATTATACAAGGAAGGTTCAAGGAAAAAGAAAGAAGAATTTAGAAAAAAAAGGAAGTTAGTAATAAAGATATGAAGGATTTATGGTAGACAAGGAATTCTTTCACTATCCAAGCTATCCGTCTCTGGAACTCCTTACCTCTTTCCATTAGATCAACACAATCTCTTGCCGCGTTCAAGATGCAGGTAAAATCTCATTACCTATCTCTCTAATTTGCTATGACGTTTACTATGTGTGATTTATCTTGACCTATTTAGTATATTATATATGTATTTATATTTATGTATTATTGTTTATATTATATATGTATGTTTATGTGTGAAAAAAATTGATGAATGTGGAAGAAGCGAAAGAGGTCTGTTTGAATCGAAGCATTTGGCGTTCCATTGTTTCTGCCTACCCTAATGGGAGACAGGCGTGACAGATATGTATGTATGCATGTTTATGTATTGTAATCTTATTTTTATATTTAGAATATTTTGCATTTTGTTTGACTTGCGCCATCTACCTTTCTCTCTGTACTTATCTATTCTTTATACCAGGTTGTCTGTAAGAGATTGCTTTTAGCGATAAGGCCGCCTTTTGTATATACACATTCTGTATAAATACTCCTTGTATACATCTCTACTGTGCGCAATAAAGAGTTTATTATTATTATTACACCCGTGTGGCCATACTCTAGAACTGGACAGATCATTAGAGGAGACGTCCTGTACCACACAATAACAATACGTGTGTTCATACACTATGCGGTACAAATTAAAGCAACATATATGTTCGCTAATTGTGTAACCGCAACAATGCGGCGATGCGATAAATCGGCACGTCGTACACTGCCGCCGCAGCCACGGCTCATGATAACGCAAACCAGCGCGATGCTGCGGTGTACCTCGTCGCCTCTACCCTGATATGAGTCTACGAACAACAACAATTATTATGTTTATATACATGCATAACGGGAACTTAAGCAATTTACTGAGTTAGTCGTTTCCAACAATTATTTCGACTTCATCCGGAAGTTTCCTTCAAGGTCATTTTTTTTAAAATGATGAATGATGATAATATTGTACAAACTCTTGAACTATTTCTAAACTGAAAAAAGAGGTCCTCCTCCTCTCTCGTACTTGCTGTACCAAACATGGTCCATAAATGAAGTTGAAATGTTATCTACTAATCACATTATGGAGGGGGGAAGGAATTATTAGTAATGTGGACTACCAGTCCCATTGCTAGCAATATACCCTGCCAGGTCGACCTCCACGCGATTCCCCCTGGAAACCATCGTGCTGAATTCACAGGTGTATTTATCACGATAGGCTAACTGACCTACTTTTTAAAAAAAATTTACCTATCATCCCTCACTGGTGCTCCGCCAGCGTATACCGTTAGTGCAAGCGGGGTAACCATTCCATGATCATCCTTTAAAAAAAATCACATTATGGAATGCAATAAGAAATAAATAAATAACCTTTAAGGATTCAATTTTTAAAATTTCATTCTTATTGATCGATGACGCTACATGATGAAATCAAATGTAAAAATTTTAAAATACTACGCTGTACTTTGATAAATGAGACAGCCAGTCACTCACACCAGAAGGAGACTTCGTAGAAAAGTCGATTGCTTGGGTACCTCTGTTCCATTCGTGTTTCTACCGTGAAGCAGTTGTGTTTGTATGGCTGTGTTTCGGTTTGAAGGGTGGGATATGGCGTGAATTTACAGGGTACAGAGGAATAACACCTGAATCCTCAGGAATGGCAACGCATGGGGGGTATCATGGACAAAACAGTGTACTCTGTTATGTCCACGGTACTGCTCATGTCGATAGGCGACGGTTACCACTTTCCTCCTTCAGGTGGGCCGTCGGCTCGTTTGCGATTCTAAGTTGTATAAAAAAAAACTCACTCAGCATACCCTTTTGCATGTACGAATAACATATATGCCAATTGTGGGAAACTACAATTTTATTCGCCCACTGTACATGCAGTACTCTGATCCTGAAATAAAATATTGAGCGTAATAGTTCAAGCTTCATGATCGGATATTTATGGTTCCCAGCATACGTTACGGCCGGCCGGGGGGCGCACTTAGCGGGGACCTTCATAAAAACGGATTTAACGCGATCTCGGCCGTGTTGAC